CTTCGACGTCACTCACAGAGATAATTTATTCATCCAACATGAATTTTGAACCGACAATCATTTCTAAAAATGGTTAATAAAATATTTACCAAGATGTTCCATATCTTAGCAGACCCCACAGGCTCTTGAGGAGAGATGAAATGCACCACGAAAATGAGCATGGCTGCGATAAAGCCAATGAGGTGGATAGCTATAAAGAAGTCAAAACGAAAATAGTACTCCGGTAGCATTATTACTCCGGATCCGCCTCTGAAAATTCCTCTCAAACAAGTCCCTTTATTTGCAACCATCATGCTTGCGAAAGCCACACAAGTCACGAGCTGGAGAAAAGAATATATTTTTGTTGTTAAATTGATTTGATTTAAGCGTTTTTATCAGTACTTTCCCTTAGTGAACGACGAAACGAAACGAGACGAAACAAAGCGAAATAATCTAAAAACTGTCTTGAGATTGAAAGCAATTTTCATCTTACRCAAGTAAGTGTGAGAAATGCTTGAATAAAATCTTAGTTAAGTTGTATCTAAAGAGACTTAGAGAAAAAAAAAAGCCATAGAACAACGATAACAGCAACAACATAAAATATTTAAAAAACAAAAGAACAAAGAAGACAAATAGAGTGCACACAATATAACCGTGAAACTTTAGTAATACTAAATAGTACAATTTCATGCAAATTCCATTGTTTTATATTGTTTAATTAGCACTATTTTGTACTATTTAGTAATTAGTGTTTCACGGATTAATTGTTTGCACTCTAAACAAACAAACAAACAAACAAGCAAACAAATAAGCAAACAAACAAACAAACAAACAAACAAAACGAAAAAACAACAGGCAGCGGGGGACCTGGGAAAGAAAAAGACTTTAACTTGGGTTCCCTGTGGATAAAACAAGATGGCTTCAACAAGATGGCTTCCTTCGTGCAGCTTTGCTGCTCTCGAAGAAGATGAATACAACTAATGATAGTAAACCAAACTAACAAACGTGAAAGAAAATAACTTGGCTGGTCGATAAACTGGACTAGACTTGACTACTTCTGGTTGAATTATGTTTATATTCTTCCATTTGGGGTTCTACTAAACACATCTAGTCACATTCGCATCACTTCACCAAAGGTCTCCACCGTCGACTCCAAGAACAAGCCATAAAAAGAGCTAGAAAAGGTAACTAAACCGTATTTGAATAGAACAAAATTCTTAACTAGTACTTAAATAGCATATTTATTCTTGTTTAGATCAGTTTATATTATATTATTTCGTTTTGTTTCGGTCGTTTACGATAATCTTAGTCATGTGGTTTTTGCAACCCAAACGCATGAATGTAATGAAGGAAGTAGAAAAGATATAATATATAATAATACAATATATCATACATTTATATAAATTGTCGTAGTTTGCAATCATTACATAGTGGCAATGTTGCTTTATGCAACAATTCAGAGAATTCTCCGTTTGCAAATACACGTCATAGCCATTGTGGAAGAATAGGAGGTTTGCACGATGGCGTCATTGACCTCYACTACCAGACTCCCTTGCACGCTTTCTTTTGTTCAGTTAATTAGCACCAATTGTCTTACTATTCTCATGAGGAAATACAAATTTAAACAATAAAGAAATTTCGCAAAGCATCTGGGTAGTGGGAGTCAAATGACGCCATCATGCAAACGTTCTATTTGACAAAAGATTTTTTAATGAATTCTTTTGTTATATCTTCCAACATGGCGGACATCCCATTTGTTCTTGTGCTTTCTTGGGATTGATTGCAAACCAAGAATAGCTACAATTCTTTTGTTGAGCCAATTTAAACCAGCATTGTTGGGACCTAAAACATACTTATCATGCTCTATTGTTTGTGAAATATCACAAACAAATAGCTAAAAGCATATAAAAAAAACTCCAAATAAGTATCAATATGTTTTGATATTGAATTTTTTTTTCACTTGCCATCTCACAAAGAAAGAAAAAATAATCTTGGTCTTCCTGTGTCTTAAAACTCACCACAGGGATCCCGCAATTTTAGGTCAGATTCAAAAGGATAGTGAAGAACCAAACGTGGAATCTGATTGGACAAAAATTATCCACATAGTTGCTTGCATATTTGGCTAATTTATTCTCGGACTTTGAGAAATCAAGGATCAAGGATGATCGTGACCTAAACTGAAATCTAAATGGCCAAAACTTTAATTCAAAACTTGTTTGCATCTATATATTTGACCGACTAGTTGGATTTGACTAAAACAAATAGTCATCTTGCTCTCATAGCCTATACTAATTGCTAAATGTTTGCGGAGCTGTGACTCTTAAAGCGGCGAGGTAAATATTTACCATATTGACTTTGTCTGAGGTGACGGAATAATTGTTTAAAAATATGCGTGGAATTTGTGCTGTAATTATACCGCTATCTTTGAATCTGAAGATGTTATTTTCTCAGACCGAATTGACAGCTTGACGTCCTTTGAACTGTGAATAAAATTAGCCGACGTCACGCTCCCACGCTTCAGGCGCGACGCTGGCATAGGAGTGATCACCTGATGTACAAGCTTTATCTTCGCGCTCTTAGACTTGTAGCCAACAGCTTCGAAAAATGTTGAGTAAAGAAAGGCCGAAATTTTACCAATGGGAAAGCACTAAGCGAAGATATAAGAAGTAATATCATCGACTCTGTAGTGAAGCAAGGAGGAGATTACATTTCTGGATTTTTTGCTGGAAATCTTTCTGAAATTGGAAGAAACTCCAACGTTAGTGGCCAAATTGGCCTTACTCTTACTCAACATTTTTCGAAGCCGTTGGCTACAAGTCTAAGAGCGCGAAGAGAAAGTTTGTACATCACGTGATCACTCTTATGCCAGCGTCGCGCCTGAAGCCTGGGAGCGTGACGTCGGCTAATTTTATTCACAGTTCGAAGGACGTCTGGTTTTAGTAGCATATACAGTATGAGTGGCCGTTCATATCGTTTACAACACAGACACGAATATTGTATATTGTTTAACAAACGTGTAGGTTAGTTCCTTTGTGTTTCACTAAAATTTTTCTAGATAAGAGTGAATCTGCCCAAGAAAATCCAAGTTAAAGTTTATGCAAATGACATGATTCTGTATCAGAGTTGTTAAACTCTTCACGGTCGTGATTTCTATTGTGTTTTCCTCATGAATTATTAATTACTTTGTTAAATAATATAGCTGAATTCATCCCTCAAAAACTGCTTCTCGACAGTTGGTCGGTATAAGAGTGCTTTTAACTGCAGGGCCGTATCCACCGGTACGGTTGGTACGGTTTCAACCGAACCAACTTTCGGAGGAAAAAAAAAATTTTTTTTTAATTTAAGAAAAATAATAATTAAAAAAAAAACCAAAACAATGAGAAAAATCATCGAAAAAAAGATTTTTAAAAATGATTAGAACGAGAACGAGAACGAGTCAAGAAAAAGTACTTTCGCAACATTCAAAATCTGAGTACTTTAGGATGGGTTTGAAAAGATATTAAGTGTAGGAGGTTTTCCCTATACTTTTCCTTGCTCCTCTCCACCTACCCCCTACCCCTCCCCCCTCCCTTGAAAACCGAACCAATCTAAAGTTGGTGGCTACGGCCCTGAACTGAAAAATCAAGCCTTAATTTTGCTGTGTTTTTTGCTGAACAGATAAAAATATACTTAATACTATATTTAGCTCTTTTTCCACCATATTTACTGTATTTTTGAAAGCCATATTGATACAAAGGTAAACAAAAACTGACATTCAAAGCTCCACGAACTTAACTTGTTGGCGAGAACTATGCAAACAAATTACTTTGTCAGTCTACGAAACACAATTCATTACGTATTGGGTTTTTTTTTTTTTGGAATCGTATTTTGTGGCATTCCTCGTGTTTCAGCCAAGAGATTTTGTAAAATGTCTGCTATGTCACTCTAAAACGCACTGGCAAAACGCGATCTTTTTTCTTTTTGTTTCTTGCCTTAATTATAAGTGTGGTTTTTTTTTGTATCAACATTTCATTTGTTGTAGTAGATGATTAATAAATTATGTATATATTAAAATAAAAATTAAAAACAAAAAACAAAAAAAGAAAAAACAAAACAAAACAAAACAAAACAAAACAACAAAAAAAAAAAAACTAAAAAAAAACCCGCGAATTTCGAGCTGCCATCTTGTTTCAAAATTGTCCCGAGTTTTCGAGGTGAATATCGTCCAAGATTCCGAGATAGCGAACCAATGAGAACACGCCATCTATGTAGGTTCCCGCATTGGTATTGCTAATCTATTCTCGGATTCTGAGAAGTCAAGGATATGGCCTAAACTAAAATCTGATTGGCCAGAAATTCAACGCAGATGTTGATTCTTGGATTCTTAGAAGTCAAGGATATAACCTAAACTAAAATCTGATTGGCCAGAAATTCAACGCTGATATTGATTCTTGGATTCTGATAAATCAAGGATGGTCATGACCTAAACTGAAATATGATTGGTTAAAAATTCTGATTTTTCTCGGTTTCTTAGAAATCTGATTGGACAAAAATTCTATGCATAATTATGTATATTAATGCTTCTTATAATAATTCTTAGATTCTGAGAAATCAAGGAAGGTCAAAACTTGAAGTGGTATGACTGCTAAACGCTACGCATAACTGTTTATTTTTCTTGAGATAAAAGTTAATTGAGTCCATGAATAATGACATACTTACACTCTCCACAATCTTCAAAATTCCTTTCTTGCTCTTCAAATAACCTAGGTTTATCTCGCTGGCCATGTTCGTTCTTGCTATGAAAAAAAAGGCAAAGATTTTATGACTTAGTTTACAAAAATAATCAATAACGCCCCCCAAACGAGCAAGATAATCACATAAGTATAGTTCTTAACTACGGAAATAAAATCTGTGGAAGAATTTCAATTTTGGACCCTTTTTTCAATACCGAATACTGCATAGATTTGCATTGCATAGAATATACGGAGAGTCTTTTAGAAAGCCATGTAAATCTAACCTAAACGGGCCAACTATAAAATATTAAATGTTATGCTAGGGTGAAAATGTTTTTTTTTAGCCCAGGATACTTCTCCACGCCTAAGCTTTCAAACTATTAAGTAAATACCTATTTCGAAAAACGAGATCTCAGTGAATACTAGACCTGACACCCAGTAGAAAGCTGGAAAAAATAATATGTTCACAGTCGGAACAACGAAGTTGATTTAGATGGGAATGTAAGACAGACATGACCTTGAGTTCGAAATATCATTTTCTTGTGTTTCAACGGGCAGAAAACATGAAAGCACAAAAACTATTGTTAAGTCTGGGATCGCACATTTCGGATCTACCACCATCTAATTATTTCAGCACTGGTTTCAGCGTTAAGCCATAGAAAAAATCAATTTGAACGATACTGAAACAACCTTCCAGAGGTTGTCTTGACGCCAAAGTAACGCGCTTGTAAATTTACTAGCAGCTTGGACTCATTTTATTCGAACCGCGAGCTAAACACAGTAACCTCTACTTAAAAAATCGTGAACAGTCGGTATCGAAGACTTGCAGTTTTTTTCAGGAATGCTTTCTATTTAAGTCTAAAAAGAGTTCAACGACCTCTAAGAGTTTTGTCAGTTCCAAGAAATTCTGCTCAAAGTTAAGGGAAAAACAAATCCTATATTAGTAAAACTTAAGATTTTTCTGCTGCTCTTTTGAAGCTTTTGGTTAAGACTCGTACGTCTTCCAATGTTAATTGTTCTTTTAAAACGCGCTTTAAACGGCTAATCTCAGGTAATCGTTTCCAGGAAAAAATAGTTGTGTTGCTATTCTACTGTTAAGGTGACCTCAACTTAATAGCGAGCGCATTTTGTGGTTTTTTTTTTATCTCCCTCGCATCGCGTCACAAAAACTCGGAAATTTCTTAATTTACCCCATAGTATTTCAAACATTTAGACCTTGACTTCGCGTTTATCGTTACGGGCCGATTTTCTAACAGTGGTTTTTCATAATATCGTCTTTAGTTGCGCTCAAAAATTAATGGATTTCCAAGAAATGACACTTTCTTGGTAAATAGATCGTCATAGCTTTGTCTGCCGAGTTCTAAGAAAATTGATTCATTGCGCATTATATTTATGGTCGGTTTTTCGGCCTATTTTGCCGCGCAACTAGTTGCATACATTTTCTCCAAACTCGAATAAACCGTTAACTCACTACATTAAGGTAAATTAAGAGATTTCCGAGTTTTTTGATGCGATACAAGCAGGTTAAAAAGATCACATTATGCAGAACGCAATTATGTTGGAGTCATCTTAGGCTTGCATTTAAACAATATTGAAGCAAAGTTTTCACTGCAATGAGATCCCGTCCGGTATCTAGATCCCGTCCGGTATCTAGATATTTTTGAAAACGGAATTCGTTCTTTGAATTTTAGCCTTGAAAACAGCTTTTTGAAAACGGATGTGTGCACAAGCGAAAAGGATTCGAGAACGCCACGCGTACACGATTTTTTTTTTTTTTAACGGAACAAAAAAAGTTTTCAAAAATACGTGTGGCAGACATGTAACTTCTGTACCTTTAGATTTGTGCGTTTAACTTCTTCCTTATGCTGGTTCCACTTCCTACTTGTCTAGGATAGTTCGTGATCTGGGCCACGCGTTCTTTTTAAAACAACTATAAGGAGTGAATAAACTCAGCGCGCTGTGATTGGTTTTTCTGTAGATAGTTGTTATTGCTTTCCAAATTTGGTTGTTGCCATATATGGTGTTGTTTGTTCATTTGCCAAGATTTCGCGTGTTTCAATAGACCCCTTGCATGTGACGTCAAAGCAGCTCAATTTGAAGGACAAAACAAAAGAATTTCAATCTCCTGAGAATTGGAAACCTATTGTTATGTCCTCCAAATAGACCTCTTGCATGTGACGTCAAAGCAGCTCAATTTGTAGGACAAAACAAAGGAATTGCAATCTCCTGAGAATTGGAAACCTATTGTTATGTCCTCCAAATAGACCCCTTGCATGTGACGTCAAAGCAGCTCAATTTGGAGGACAAAACAAAAGAATTGMAATCTCTTGAGAATTGGAAACCTATTGTTATGTCCTCCAAATAGACCCTTTGCATGTGACGTCAAAGCAGCTCAATTTGGAGGACAATACAAAAGAATTTCAATCTCCTGAGAATTGGAAACCTATTGTTATGTCCTCCAAATTGAGCTGCATTCCGACGTGCTGCAAGCAGTCTATATGATCCAGGTTGTAATTTGACGTGTTGAAACTAGGAACAAATAATGAGGTCACGATGCATGTCACTGATAACTTTTCGAAAGACGCTCTAAGAGCGTAAACTGGGTTGCCTGTCGTTTGCATATTCTCAAAGCTAGATAGCTTGTGCAAAGGCTTACCAAAAGATCCCGTTGTATTTGAATAATAAGACGTTTTTATATAGCTCGTGATGTAGTGTCCAGCTAAACCTCTTAAATACAAACACAACTCTCTGTATAAGAGAACCGCGTTGCGTTACGCGTGTGAAGTTTCCCTCACCATTTTAACAGGAAATAATAATATTTTTAATACTTGAACTCTACAATGTTTATTGGTATTTGTAAGTGGTTATTTTTTTTAACTTCGTCTAATTTTGAAGAAATTTACTCTACTCGTAGTCGGGAACCAAATATTTCCCGCTCGTATTGAATCTACTACAATGTGATCAATCAGGTATCGCATGCTAAAAATAGCACAGGCTTGCGCGCGAAGCTGAAAATAGATATTCCATAAACTATCGTGGTTAGAGACCCATATGTGCTCTCTTACCAAGAGAAAATGAACTAAGAGAAGGAATCCCCCCTATATAGCCTTGTAACCATCATGTGCACAGTTTGATGCTATTATTAAACCATTTGTATTTCTGCACGTGCATTTACTGCGTGCGGCCTACGCTATTTGCTTACGTTTTTGGGGTTTTTCCATTTTTTCGACTCTGCCCTGAATATGAATGTGCGCGTCGAAAGCTTGGCAAATACGACAGGAAATTGAAGTAGTAATTTGTTTTTGCTAGAATCACAAATATATTATTGAAAAAAAATCATATTCGTTTACCGTTGAAGAAATGTTTTTCTATTCTTCTTAAATTCATGATTTCACGTCGACTCATGATGCAGACTCCAGCGCAGTGCAGTAAATCCAGGGCACGGTTGTACGAAGACTATTAAGGGTAGATAATCGATAAATCCTTTTTATAAGATAACTGTTATAAATCTTGCGTTCTGATTGGTTGGGAGCGCGTGCTTTATGAGAGCACACAGCACGCGCGCGCACTTTCCGTTGCGTCATTCCTATCAATTATTGTAATTTGTATTTTATAAAAGAAATAAAAAACTTGCTTGCTGTGCTGTGTGCAGTCATAAAGCACTTGGGGATTGACAGAACACTCGAGAAGTGTCGAGAAGCACTCCGCAACGCGTCATGCTTCTTCTAACACTTCTCTCGTGTTCTGACAACCCCTGTGTGCTTTATAACTTCTTTTCATTATCTTCTTTTGTCTTTATTTGACTATTATACACTGAAGAGATAGAAAACGAGCTTGCGTGCTATGTTGAGTTATACAAGCACGCGGAAAATTGCGTGAGTCCGAGAGAAGGGCTAAGAGAAGTACGAGCCGTAGGCGAGAGTATCTTATTTTTATATACGATAATTTAATAAAAACAAACAAACAGAAACTTTTAGTTTGCGTGACAAATTCACGCAAAACTTTTAGCAAAACTTTTAGGCCATACTTCGTTGCCTTTTTAGTATTGATAGGAATGGCATTTATTTTCATTTTTTCAATTTCCTCATCGGAAATCGTAGCAAAACCATTGCCGGCAGATGCCATTTTGTTGGTGATTTAGATTTAGAGGTGAATATCGTACAATATTCACCTCCTATTGACCAATGAGGGCGCGCGTTCTTAGGAAGTACACAAGTTGGTATATGCTAGTAATCAATAGAAACCTTTTCACAGTCTGAGGAAAACCACTCAAAAAGTTTTATTGTTGATATGGAATATTATCGTTAATAGACAAGGACTTCAAACCATTAAAGGAATCTTTTTGCAATATACAAACTTATATACATGTATACATTTCTTCACTAAACAAGAAATAATGGTAGCAACGAGTTTTCTGAATGAACTTTTTGAAAATGAGAAAATATTCTTAACAATTGCATTTCTTCTTTATATGAATAATTCCATTCATTCATCTCCCTTACTATTGTTAATTTGCATACAATATTGTGGCATGTCTAATTAATCCTCTTGTTAGGTACATCCTTTTCTAGAGGTGGAATTTTTGTTATCTTGATATTTTGAACTGTTTAGATAAAGCACTAACACGTCCATCGATACATTTCTGTTCTAATGACGCTCGAGATTTTCATAATCTATCTTTCTTGCTTATTTTATGTCAATAATTGTTGTTTTGTCCATCCTTCGAATGCTACACACAAATACACCGTCAAATAGCACTGAGGTTTTAAACCCACGACTCGACCGTACGGATCTTTTGATCAAAGAAATCTAGAAATTTCTCTCCTATGGTCCTGGGACGGCGACGTGCGGTAGCTTGAGCTTCACGTGCGTGCTCACGGATTTGCATAATACCGTCGATGAAAAAAGCTGCTGCTGCAAGGAAATCAACAACCTGTAAAAAGAATAATTGTCAAATATTGATTACGTTGATGAATGAAAACTGCATGTGTTTACTAGATCAGAGTATCTAAAAAGGAAAACTCTTATACCTTCTTCTTAATACTCCTTTTTTATATTTCCATTCAGTGACCACGAATAATTAGCAATTATTCGCCGAAGGCGAAGTGAATATCGGGGAATGTTTACCGAGACGTGAGTCTTCGAGCGGCGAGGTAGATATTCTCCATATTCACTGAGCCTGAGGCGAATAATTGTTTTAGCATATACCAACTTGTGTACAGAGTAACTTATGTTTTTATACAATAATTCAATAAAAAAAACAACAAACAAACAAATAAAAACTAGATTATATAACTAAATATAACTAGATTATTACGCGCGCTCTGATTGGCCAAAAACCAATGAACTATTTCCCYATGGGCTGCACGCTCGCGCACGCTGATCTCAACGGACGCTCGCCTTTTTTCTCTAAATTTTCAAACCCGATGGCGTCAATAGCGCGCGCACGAGCGGGATGGGTGATATAACGCACGCTCTGATTGGCTGAAATGCCTATGAACTATTTGCCCATGGGTCGCACGGTAGATTTTTGGTCATATTATAAATCAGTTAGTCGACAAAAAAGCGCAAAACGATTGTCGGCAGATGCCATTTTGTTGCCGACTCAATATTCCGAGATTTAGAGGTAAATATCGTACAATATTCATCTCCAATTAACCAATGAGCGCGCGCGTTCTTAGGAAGTACACAATTTGGTATATGCTAATAGTTACTAGCCGAGGCTGGAGTTTCCGCGCATAGCAAAACTTCAATTCAGCATGCGCGGTAACTCCAGCCTCGACTTGGAACTATTATTCGTGGTCACTGAATAAAACTGTATAAAGGAGTATTTAGCAGATTAACGAAAAATACTGTTTTACTTTTCTAATTCACCATTTTCTATACATCGGTTCACTGGTTAAATACAAAGCATTCAAGCGAGGCTTCAAGGTAATTTAAAAGGATTATTTAAATTAGAACCTTGCAGCCTCGATTGAATGCTTTGTGCTTGACCAGTGAACCAATGTATGGAAAGTGATGAAAGTTCGAATGAAAGTCCGAATTCGGAGAGCGCGCGCGGAAAAATGACGTGATGGTTTTAGAAACTCTCATATAAAAAGGTATTTCGACCAATCAGATCAATTATTTTAAAATGTAATTTTTAAAATACCAAAATCTCGTTATAGCCCGTGTAGTTTTTTTTTTTTTTTTTTTTTTTTTTTTTTTTTTATTTTTTTTTTTTTTATTGTTTTGTTCGAAAATGACTAAAGTAAAACTTTAGAACAGTTTTAGTATGACTGGGAAAAGTCAAGGCAAGACCGCGGTCATGACACGGCGGCAAGGGATACGCTAGACCAATCACATAGCGCAAGAACTTACTCTCCATCCAATCAAATAACCGAAAAACGGCACAATCACGGCGCGGACACGGTCACKCCAAAGTCACGGCACTGCCAGACCAATCATATTGCGCRAGAAAAAAAATATCAGCCAATTAAAATTCTAGAAAAAATCAAGTTCACAGCACGGCAAGCTTACGGTACTGAGCTTTTCACAGTTATTACTTACGACAGCTGCGATGGTGTTATTGGTATACCACCTCCACTTGCCATGGTTTGTCTTGTATAGGACGCTGTCGTACTCATGCGTTGCTTCTTTCGACATGACTATCGCGGAAATAAAGCACCCGAAAACCATGATAATACAGAGAAACATATTCTGAAATATAAATATGATGCAATTGATTTTATTCACCTTATTCGTGTTCTTTAGAAAAATACTAATTAATGAGGATGACTTTATCAGAGACAAAGGTGCATCCAAGTTTAGATGAAGACTTAGAGCCTTCATCGAGGTCAGTACTCTTACGTTAGCCTGTGTACAGCTGCATAGAATAAAAAATATATAAGCCTAAAGTGATTACCAAAATCTTCAAAAGGAGAAGAAAATCCTGGTTTGATTGGGTACAGGAAACTGAGACGACGATGAAAATTGCCACTAAAAATCCAAAAATGTTCAATATCTGCATAGATTTGTAGCGAGTTTTATGTTCTTCAAGAAAGTCATCCTCAAATCCATTCTTAGAAACTGTTATGCATGAAAATGCAACGCAAGTGAAGATCTGAAAAATCATAGAAAAGCAGTAAATAAGATTGTGTGCAAAATACTTTTCTAAAGCCCCGTTTGCACTAGCAATTTTTGCGGCGATTTTTGCTGCGACTTTTTCTGCGATTTTGTCCATAATAAATAATGGTAAAGAATTTACTCGTAAAGTTTTTTTCAGGATACCAAGATTTTCCTAGACGAATGTCTCTTTTGAAGGATGAGACATATGATTTCATATTTCCGAAAATTGCCACAAAAATCGCAGCAAAAATCGACGCAAAAATCGCCAGTGTAAACGGGGCTTAACAATGTCCGGGTCAATGTTTCATCAGTATCGTGAAATGACGTCATCATCATCATACACAATCATCATCATCACAAATGCTTACCTATCCATAATGATGTCACTCCGTCAAAACATACATGTTTAGAAATTCATTTAACGGAATATATATAAGGAATATAAAACGTGCGCATGGGTCTGTACTGTGATATAAACACGCTGGGAGCTGTAGAGCACGAGAAAAGCAAGTTCCGAAACACGAGGCGTAGCAAAGTGTTTCTCTTGCTTGGCGAGTGCTCTACAGCTCCCAGAGTGTTTATATCACAGAATATAGACACAAGCGGACGTTTTATATTGCTTTTATACAAATATTTTAAAATGATTTTGCGCGAGCGTGTCTCTGTCCTCTGATATAACATGACACGATAGCCAGCCAATCAGCGCGCGCGTTATATTTCAAATATTTTATAAACGTCAATATGTATTTATGTCAGTGAGGTTCGGAAAGCACAACAAAATTATAAATCATTTTGTAGACCTAAACTTTTACAGTTTAGATAGATACTAAATTTTAGAACCATTACAGGCTGACTTGGGAAAATAGTGTTTTTTTATACGTCTTTTTACTGTAGCCATATTCTGTTTTTGAACACTGACATACTCACAATTTCGATAATCTTCAATATCCCCATTTTGCTTTTGATGTATTCCATATTCCATGTAAATATTTTCCTAAAAAAAAAACTAATTCAAATTCACGAGTAAAATACCTCTGCACTCTTTAATACTCGTTCGTGCTAAGTTTATTCTTTCGTACATTAGTCTATTCGTTCGTCTGTCGGTCCGTTCTTTCTTCCATCCAT